TGCAGCAATTATCCGACAACAAGCTCTACCGCATATCTGGCCGCAATTTGGCAGCAAGATTTGATATAACAGATCCTGCATCAAATTTGTTATCTATTTGCCATCAAAAGTTGATAGCAAGCTCTGCTCGAAATCTGTTCGCGCAGGTTTGGCTATCTGTCGATTGAAATACATGTCTACCAATTCAATTGAAAACAGTTTAGGTTTAAATAACCACCTTTGCTTTCATTATTCTATGCAATTCATTACGTTACAATGTAGACTCACATATTTATTACTAAGCAGTTCATGTCAGAATAGACGCCTTTGCTTTTACTTATTATATTCTAAACAGTGCATTATATTACAATATAGATCCACAATATTTATTCACCAGCTCACGTCAGAATCTCTGGTTTTACATATTAGTCCTACAATTGCATTCGAATATACATGTACATGTACAATATTTATATGTAATATACATATACAATATTTATTATACAGCTCACGTCAGAATAGACGCCTCTGGTTTTACACACTATTCAAAACAATAACATTCCAATGTACATCTACTATATTTATTATGCAGCAGAATAGACGCCTCTAGTTTTATATATTATTGGAAATAATTACATTGCAATTTATATAACAATATTTTTAATGCAGCTCACGTTAGCATAGACGCCTCTGGTTTTACACATTATTCCAAACAATTACAACTTAGCGAGAACATAGACGTCGATTCGACGTCTAACCGACGTCGAAGAAGTCTAAGTTACGTCTAGTCTAAATGCACGTCTAGAAAAATGGCAATTTAGACGTCTTCTATTTTGAGTAAATTCTAATGTTTTAGAATCCATTTATAATACATTGATCATTAAAAGAGAGTTTTCGATAAAATTTCGAAATTTTATTTTGTCGATTATTTACAATCTCTCTAGACGTCTATTCGATATTGAATCGACGTCTAATATCCCAGTGAGAAATGACTTATCGATCGACGTCGAAAAGACGTCGAATCGGCGTCTATTTAACGATTTCGACGTCGATAAATAAGTCATTTCTCACTGAGGTCGCGCGCATTTTGCATAAAAAATTTATTCTAAGTGGAAACGTCAGTTTTTTTTTTTTTAGATTTCCGATTCAATTATAGTATTACAAAGATAGGAATGTCAGATTATTCGAAAAACATTAAACTGGAAGGAATGATCAAAGTTATTTTGCAAATAACTACATAAACTTTAGAGATATTAAATAAAATAGACAGGAAAATCAACGCGTGTATTTGCTAGGTACGTTATAATATACTGTGAACACTGTAAATATACATTTTATAAACATAAATTGTAAGAACATCATTGGAGTTATTGGAACACGGCGTGCCGCTCGATCGTCAGGTTAAGCAACGCAGTCAGGATGGATGGGTGACCACTTCGAATTCGAAATTATCGAGGCAGGATTTCGCGAAAGTTTTAATGTGTGTTTGACAATCTTCGGTTTCTATCAGTTTATAAGACATAAAGAAAATTAGGAATTAGTTATTTTTATGAAACAATCTAGTGAGAAATGACTTATTAATCGACGTCGAATCGACGTCGAAATGACGGTCTATTAGACATCGATAAGACATCGATAAGACGTCGAAATGACGGTCTATTAGACATCTAAATGTGGATCGTTTTTAGGTCGATATAAATCTTAATCTAGATTAGTCATAGATGGTTAGGTAAATGCCGTCCGTATATACGTGTGATCCGCATTCGATGACGCGTCACTCACACTGCTGCCTGGAGTGCGTTCGAAAACGTTTTCTGCCAGAAGCGAGTGAGGTGATCAAGGGATGTGTTGGTAGGGGTAATAAGATACTCAGGGGAATGTTGGTTTTCGAACGACTCCTAAGAGATCATAATGGATAATATAGGGTCTGTTCGTTTTCTCTGCACTATTGAACTAGTGCAATAAGTTAGAGTGAAAGAAAATATATTTGTTTCAATCTAACTTATTGCACTAATTCAGTAGTGCAGCGAAAACAAACAGACCCATAGTTCCGGTTCGCGGTTCAGAATAATGGATAATATTGAGTTACGAAAGCGTTTGATGTCTCTGCTGGCTATAATAATCAGTGACCAATTTTTGAAGTCCATTGAAAATATTACAGATAATAGTGATACAGAGGATGAAAAAAGTACTATTTGGCTGGGAAAACATCGTCACAGATTACATGGTGCATGCAAGAAACCATTGCGCATTAAAGGTTATGTTGAAAGAACCATTCAAGGCCTAAGTGAGAAGCAATTTCGTGAGT